AGGGGGGAGTGGGGAGGGAGGGGAAAAATGAGGACCTAATGCCGGGGGCTTAAGTGGAGAGGAAATGTTTTGAGAACAATGAGGGCAATGAATGTACAAATGTGCTTTACACAATTGATGTATGTATGGCTTGTGATATGAGTTGTATGAGCCCCTAATAAAACGATTAAAAAAAAAGAAAAAGAATAAATAGGGACAAATTTACCTGATGGCGCAGTGATTACGACAGCTGGGCTGCTACCACAAGATGAACAGTTTTAAACTGTCAGCCATTCAGCAGGAGAAAGTCACAGTTTTCTATTTTCATGAAGAGTTAGCCTCTTAGGACTTAAGAATGAAATTTCATGGTGTTCAAATAAGATAGGTAGACAAACATTGACCTAGTACATCAATGCCCTATATGCTGTATTAAGATATATATTATGCCTGCAAACCTGCGATTGACATTGTTAGTGAATATTATGTAAAATTTCCCTGACAACCAACTCCCATTGTTTGTGTAAATAGAGTCCAGTAATGTAAGGATTTATTCTGTTCAAGTGAATAATTCAGGTATTGTGATATGTTATTAGCCTACTCTGGTCCAATATCCCTCTTTCAATGGTGTTTTAAAAATTAGTACCAGGAGCTAAGCAATGACAATATTAACGGAAGATCTTTATGCTCAGTAAGTCTCTCTACCATAAATAAACAAGGTCTCTATGGGGAACCAAAGGCAGATAAAAAAAAACATAGATCCAGGAATGGACTAAATCACTAAATCCTACTTCCAATTTAAAAACTAAATCACTAAATCCTACTTCCAATTTAAAAACAATTAGTTCTTATATCATGGCCTCAGGAAGGGAACACAGAACATATAGGTGCTATAACAAAATGTGATAAAGCAATTAGATGGTGCCCAGCTATCAGATAAAATAACGTCTAGGAGACCCTAAAGGCTTGTTTCCAAAAAAGCAGTCATCTAAGTGGGATATCAACTAAGTCCACATGGAAGAAGCACACCAACATCAGTCACTGAAGGATTGTAAATCTCATAATCCAAAGTCAAAGGAGGGAATAGTATCCAAGCCTAAATTGTGAGATTCTGGTTTGCAGAAGGCTATGGAGGTCAGTGGAAGCCCAAGATAAATCTATGAGACCTAAACAAAAAATAAACCTCAGGTGATTTCCTTCCATCCATAATGGAGGGATGGGAATAGACTGGTTATCAGAGTATTGGAACGATGTCTAGAAGAAATCAAAATGATAAACCTGACTTGAACAGTTAAAACCTTGTCCCTTGAGTCCCCCACTGATACACATTGGGCCTGATCTGATTTTCAACATTTTCTGTTTTTGTTTTTATATTGGGGTTTATCTCTGATGTATTTTTTAATGTCGTTTTATTAGGGGCTCATACAACTCTTATGACAATCCATACATACATCAATTGTGTAAAGCACATTTGTACATTCATTGCCCCCATAATTCTCAAAACATTTGCTCTCCACCTAAGCCCCTGGCATCAGCTCCTCATTTCACCCCCTCCCTCCCTGCTCCCCCCTCCCTCATGAACCCTTGCTAATTTATAAATTATTATTTTGTCATATCTTGCCCTGTCCGACGTCTCCCTTCACCCACTTTTCTGTTGTCCGTCCCCCAGGGAGGAGGTTATATGTAGATCCTTGTAACCAGTTCCCCCTTTGCAACCCACCCTCCCTTCTGATGTATTTTTTCATTGTGGGTAGCTCTCTTGAATTTTTATGTTTTTCTTATTTTTGGTATATGAAACTCAGGATTGATGAACCTATAGAGACAAGTAGAATAAGGGTTCCTGGGGGGTACATTGGGAGAGGATGAGGGATAAAGGGGAGTTGATGTTTTGAAACTGATTGTAGTAGCAATTGTACAATACTGCTTGATATGATTGAATTATGGAATGATATGATATATGTATCAACTCCCAATAAAATGGTTTTGAAAAAAAAAGAGTTATAGTCACAGAAACCCAGAGGGCAGTTCTACCCTGTCCTATAGGGTAGTTATGAGTCGCAATCAACTCAATAGCAGTGAATTCTTAAATAATATATAACATGCACATATTATCAAATATGAGAAACAGGAACAACAGAAAGCAAAATAGATGTCTGGGACATCCTAAAAGTTAGACACATACGTGCACCAAGAGTCAAAAGAAAACCCTCAGATTGTTTGGTCATGACATAATGCACAAGGGACTAATCTCAAACTTTTACAGAAAACCTCAATACCTCAACAAAGTAAAGACAAATAATCCAGTTAAAAAGGGTCACGAAAGGTGACATTCAGGTTGTCCACAAACATGCAAAAGTGCTCACAATCATTAGCCACTAGAGAGATACAAATAAAAACGAGATATCATCTCATTCCAGCATGTTTTTAGGTGCTGTCGAGTCAGTTCCAACTCATAGTGACCCCATGTACAACAGAATGAAACACCACCTGGTCCTAAGCCATCCTTACAATTTTTATGTTTGAGCCATTGTTGAAGCCACTGTGTCAAGCCATCTTGTCCAGGTGCTTCCTCTTTTTCATTGCCCCTCTACCAAGTATATGCCCTTTGTCAAGGACTGGTCTCTCCTCATAACATGTCCAAAGTATATGAGATGACGTCCCATTAATAGCAAAGTTAAAAAAAAAAAAGAAAGAAAACAACAAATGCTGTCAAGAGTGTGGTAAGACTAGAAAACTCATACACTGTTGGTAGAACCGTAAAATGTTGCAACCACTGTGGAAAGTGGTAGAGAGGCAGAGGAAGGCAAAAGTTGGAAATAGAAATACCATACAACCCAGCAATTCCTTTACTTGGTATCTACCCTACAGAAATAAGAACCAAGGCACAAATAGATATATGCACACCTATATTCACAGAAGCACTAGCCAAAAAATGGAAACAACCTAAATACCCACCAATGGAAGAATAGCTAGGCAAATTTGGCACACACACACACTGATGGAATACAACCCACATTAAACAATAATGCTGAATCTGCAGAATGCTTCATAACATGGATGAATCTGGGGGACATTAGGCTCAGTGAAATGAGTCAATCACAAAAGCACACATATTGTGTAAGATCACTATTATAAAAAGTGAAGAATAGGTATTTAGAGTAAGAGAAATATTCTTTGATGGTTACTAGGGGTGGGAGAAGGGAAGGCAAGAGAAAGGGGCAGGGGGAGTCTCAAGCTAGAGGGTAGACAAGTGGTAACTGAGGTGAAAGGAAAGGTAAAATACATTAAGAGGAAGGCTAAGAAAAAATTATGGAAGCAGGGAAAGACATTGGGAGATTTGCAAGAGTAAAGGCAACAATGGCAAATTATATACACAATCCTGCAATAGTGGTGATGTTTGGATAGATACACAACCTGAACAGATGTGGGAGTGAAAAGGGAAGTGCACCCACAAATATATGATGGAGCGTACAAGAATAAAAGTAATGAAAACTTCCTCCCCCCCACCCCCGAAAACACAAAGTTATGAAAACTTCTTAGACATAATTAAACCTGTGTTGCTGGGCCTGGAGGTATCCAGAGCATAGTCTTGGGGGATGCGAAAAAATAAATGCAGAAATAAAGGAAACAAAAAACAAGTATGAAGTAAGATTGTACAAATTAAACATTAGTTATTATAATAAATGTGAATAAGTCAAATTTCCCGTGTTGTTTTTTTTTTTAAAACCATCCAGCCCAAAGTCATCTTCTCTTCTTCAAGAATTTGTTGCAATGACAGGTCTGGTCATTGTACAATAATTTCCATCTGCCTAACATTTCTGGAAACTGAAGGCCTACCCTGGATATAAAAGAAAGAAAAAATCATTTAGGGTAAAAGCATCTGCTTCATAAGGAGAGAAGAGGAAAGCAAACAGTAGAAGAGGTAAAAGGTATAGTCACTACAGTACTCAGGAGCTTCTCTACCAATTTGGTTTTCAAAAACTTCAGAGAGAAAATAGCCACCATTTTTAGCCAGCCTAGATTCTTAGTCTGACCTACTAATCATCTTGCTATATGAACTTGAAGGGAATACTGACAGCACTGTGAATTACACGTTGGGCTGCTAACAACAAGGTCGTAGTGTGATCCCACCAGCTGTTCTGCAGGAGGCTTTACTGCCTTGAGAACCATACAGAGGACTAAGAGTTCAAATTGACTCAATGGTAAGTTTGTTTCATTTCCCATGAGCTTGAAGAATTTTTAAAATTTATCTGAGCCACAATCACCAAAAAATCATCAAGTATGATATCAGCTCTCAAAGAAAGATTGAGTGATTTGATACATAGATCATACTTAAAAATGCTTGATGTATGGATTGTTTTAAGAGAGTAAGAGCCCCCAATAAAATTATTAATTTTTTAAAAAGTGATTGAGAAAAGATCACAGCTCTTACTTTTTCCTGTTACAACTTCAATAATGCTACATAAAAGCCTATAACTATGGTTTTATAAGTATGGTTTAAAAACTAGATTAAAAAAACTAGATTAATGCACCATATCTATTATCTTTAAGACAATTATTTAAACAATGGTGTTCCAACAACCTCTATAGCGGACACATGAAAGAGAAAACAACTTTAAATTACGTCAAATAAACTGCCCTTCAATTTGAAAAAAATGGTTGCTATAAAATATATTCATTAAAGCTCAAGATTGGATGAGAGTGATACAGGAAACTCACTGTGTCCAAGTTTCATCATGATGACCAGCTTCAAAGCAGGTAAGTTTAAATCTGCTAGCTTCCTTCCAGTCCCGATAGTGGAAGAACAAATTTGAAGACAGCTGAGAACCACACCACCGAAAGCTTTGTGCCTTCTGAGCCCCCTAAAGGCAAAGTAAAATGTTAAAGAGCATGCTAAGGAATCCCTAACAACTAGGAAAACTAGAAAAAAGGCTACACAGGCCTCATCACACTACCCAAAGGGAGGGGTAGGTCTGAATCTCTTTTCCTGCATGGTTTAAGTACCTCACTGCATTGGATGGACTCCTTGGTCCTTAATCCTCCACCCTGTAATGTCATATCCCAGGTAAGGAAAGAACTAGCACTCTACACTTAGGGGGACGAGCACCTTTGTTTTTCTTTCACAATTAGAGGTTCTGTGTCTCTTCTAAGAAGCCCTGCTGTCATAGTGGTTACACATTGGACTGCTAACTTCAAGGTCAGCAGTTTGAAACCACCAGCAGCTCTTTAGAAGAATAACGAGGCTTTCTACTTCCAGAGTTAGTCTCAGAAACCCATAGTGACAGTTATACTCTGGTCTGTAGCGTTGCTGAGTAAGAATCAACTCGATGGCAATGAGTCTTTTGAGTGAATCTCTCTTCTGAATAATCCCTGGATGATGTAGATGGTTAAGTGCACAACTACTGGTCAAAAATCTGGTGGCTTGATTCCACTTAGAGGTACCTCAAAAAACAAGCCTGGCAATCTGCAGCCAATAAGGTCACAACCTTTAAAACCTTATGTTCTACTCTGCATATATGGGGTTGCCAGAAGTCAGAATCAATTGGATGGAAACTAATAATAACTAACTTAAAGGTGGGTGATTTGCACCTACTCAAAAGCACCACAGAAGGCCTGACAATCTGCTTATGTAAAGATTATAAATAAGAAAAGCCTATGAAGCAGTTCTATTCTGCAACAGCTGGAGGACCATGAGTAGGATTATACTCAACTAAATTGGTTTTTGTGTGTGTTTTAGAGGTCTCTTCTATCCTGGGAGAGGAGGAAAAACAGATCCCAACAGTACTTTATGGGAGAGGGTGGGGGGGTCTTGAAACAGGGCTTATGGCTAAGTGGATTTTGATTAGTGCAAATTCTTGGGGGGGGGGGTTGTTCTGTGCCTGCATATGTGTATGGGGCCATCTGGCTTTCTACTTGGAACAAGAGTAATGGCTCTATCTATGCATGGAGGTGGGCAGGTTTGTGCACCTCTTAAGTTGTGGTGAGCATTTGGAGACACATGTGGAGAGTAATTGATATGCCTGCCTCCATTATGAGGTGACATTAGTGTCACACTAACAAAGGGGGAAAACTGTGTAGCTTTGCATGGGTGAGATCTACAACTTGCCTGCAGTGAGGTTATTATGGCCCTTCCACAAGAGTTAAGCTATGAAGAATCTGTGTACTTTTTAAGAGTTGAAGTCAGTAACTCTTAACACTGAAGGGAGGTCGGCCTTTGGTTTCTCTTTGGTGGGCAGTATTAATAGGTCTACTTTTTTGGGGGGGGTGGGAATCTGTGTCTTTACTCTGAATGGAAATATATCTGAAATCTACCTTGGGTAAGAGGAAGTCCATATGCATGCAGAGTGGGATGATCAGATATGCCATAGTCATTCAATATCACAGGAAGTTGCACCTCTCTGCCTAGGTAGTATTTTCCTGGCAATATTTGGTGAATCTAAATCCTTGCAAGGTTTAGGGTGGGTGGAGGATAATCTGTACATCGCAAAAGGTTAAAAAAACAAATCTGAGACCCTCGATGCTGGGACACTTTTGAGGGACAGCCCTAACTATCTCTTCATGAGTTGAGGTCTGTTTCTGTTTGCTGCAGGGAGACCAGTATTTTGGGGATCGTATCTTTACAAATTCAGTAACCAATATCCCTTCATAGGAGGGGGATCTGCATGGCTTTCCATGGGCTATAGGATTGTGCCCCCAACCATTTACCAAAGCCAAACCAAACACTGCCATCGAGTCAATGTAAAACTGCCCTGTGAGTCTCTGAGACTAATTCTTTATGGAAGTAGAAGCCTCATCTTTCTCCAGCAGAGCAGCTGGTGTTTTCAAACTGCTGACCTTGAGGTTGGGGTTAGCAATCCAGCTAGCAACCATTGTTCCACCAGGGCTCCTCCCAACAACGTGCGGGACAACTGATGGTCACTGCAAGAGAGAGGGTGAGCCTCCATGTATGAGTAGCACAGGGGTGAGACAGGGATGTCTCGGGATCTCCACGAGAAGAGGAGATCTTGCCTTCCTCTGTATATTAAATCACAACTCCTCTGTACTGGGATTGGGGGTGGGAAATGGAGGAGGGAGCAGCCTGTTGAGGGTGCGGGAATACATCATAATCTCTGTCAGAGGGAAGGGTGCTTCTAAGCAGATGTGTGTGTCTTCGGGTCTTTATGCTCAGAGGTCTGCACAGCTAAGCCTTTATGTGGTGGGTGGACGCCTGTCTGTACCGGAAGAGTGTAGAAAGGGACCTCACTACCCATGGGAACCTACAACTGCTGATGGAATGGGGCCATGCCTCTTGAATTCAGTAGGGCCCGTCTCTATGTGAGGAGAAATATTTGCCCCCTCCTCCGGAACCTACCACCCTGGAGGGGAGGGGGCTCAGTGGAGGGCGTCTATAGTTTTACCTCACAGAGATGATCCTTCCCACGCAACCAAGACAGGAAAGCGCAAATCATGAGAAAAGAGGAAAGTAGTCTCTTACCTACACTCACCGCGAGAAGCAGGGTGGAAATGCTGGCACGAGAACAGGATTGGTCAAAAAGTTGCGTTCAATCCCTTGGCTCCGACTTCCGGATACCAGCCTCGTTTTGAGTGGCGGCTCGACCGGTAGTGTTTCTCAGTGGAGGCGGGGCTTCATACCTACAGCCCTCTATGGCCGGTCTCTTTCTCACAAACGTTCGTCCCGCCTTCTTGCTGCTCCTTCTGGTAAGGAAATCGTTAGGGGGAGGAGATAGACCGGGAAGTGGTAGGAGAAACTCTCAAAGCGACCGGTGTGGACATATAGCCTATTTGTAAGCCAAAATCTTGTCTGCTGCCTTTTGTGTGTGCCGAAGTGTGCGAGTTTCAGGATCTTAGAGGCCAGAGTTCACTGTGTCCGTATCGGACAACGGTAGAGGGGTTGATCCCTTTCTCTGCATGGAAGATGGCGACGGTGCTTGGTGTGAGAAAATGGCCGCCTGAGTCACACGTCTAGTCAAGTATTCCCCACCTGAAAGTGAATTTGCTTATCTACTCCTACATTTTTGTACATGCGTATGTACCCACTGCCATCTAGTTGTTTCAGACTCTTAGCGATCCTACAGAACGGGGTAGAAGTGTTTCCTTAGGGTTTCTCAGGCTGTCGTTCTCCCTAGAGCGACTAGTAGGTTTGAACCACCGAGCTGCATTTAGCAACCAGATGGTAAACTGAATGCGCCACCCGGTCTCCTTTTAAAAGTACGAGAAATTCAGTATTCTTGCCAGCCCTAACGGGCGCAGCAGACTAAGCAGGACCCGGCATCTGAAAAACTGAAAGCCTCTCCTTTTCCTGTCTGTATTCTCTTTACCTCTACTGCGCCCTCCTTCCCTCAGGCCAGGGACTGCATCTGCTAATGGGAATTAAATGTTTGTGTGACTCGGACTGCGGGAGAAAAATGAGGTTATCATAAAGATTCGGAAACTCTACGGAGCAGTTCCACTCTAACCAATGGGGTCACGATGAGTCAGAATCAATTGATAGTAGTATGCTGAGATATGAGTTGAAATTGACTCCAGGTTTTGGCTTGGGTGGATGCTGAGTACCTGGCTTGGCTAAGGAAAGAGAGATCCCCTTTAAATCAGTAATCAGCCTGAAACTGCCTTCTGCTTACTAATTTAATTTCACACAGACCCCTCATCTTCCTCAAGTCTGTTAAAAATAAAAACTCAACCTGAAATTCTTTATTGCACCTACCTAGGGAGACCATTTTCATCCCAGAAAAAAAAATGAAATGGCTCAAAGTTTAGTTAGTTACGATGAAGCTTATAAGGAGATGAGGAAGGAAAAAAATAGAATGCCAACCTTGGTACAATTGAACCTTGCCCAGCCCCCTGTCCTGAAGTCAATTTGCTACATCACCCACCTGTAGCCATGAGATATGAGGTTTAATTTAGGAAAACCTAGGCTTTTTTGAGGAGCCCTAGTTGTGTAGTGGTGAAGCATTGAGCAGTTAACTGCAGGACCAACAGTTTGAAACCACCAGCTGTTCCTCAAGAGAAAAAAACTTACCCTCATAAAGAATTACAGTCTCCGAAGCCCATAGGAGCAGTTCTACCCTGCCCTATTAGGGTCCCTATGAGTCAGAAGTGACTCCATGGCAGTGAGTTTGAGGGTTTTGTTTGTTGTTTTTTAGATTCTTTCCCAAGGAGCCCTGGTGGCACAGTGAGTTAGGCGTTGGGCCACAACCAGGATGTCAGCAGTTCAAATTCACTAGCCACTAGAGGAAGAAAAACCTCAAAATCACATTCGCTGCCATCAACCCTATATAGGGCAGGGTAGAACTGCCTCAGTGGGTTTTTGAGACTGTAACTGTCTACTGGGGTATAAAGTCTTGTCTTTCTCCCTGGGATCAGCTGGTGGTTTCAAATTGCTGACTTTGCAGTTTACTATGCCACTGGGGCTCCTAGATGGGAGAAAGTTTGCTCTCAAGTCTTGTGGAGCAGTTCTGCTCTGTTCTATAGAGTTCCTGTGAGGATGGAATCCACTCGATGGCAGTGGGTTTAGATCCATTTTCATTTAATCAGGAGGTAATAATTTTGTTGACTATCTTTCTAGAAGGAAAGGTCAAATTTACATTGCTTTAGAGCAGTTCCTGACAGGCTTTTGCTGCTTTAGTCAGTTTTTTTTAGTAGTATTATTTGGTTTCATGGGTTAAATAAAACCTTTAAAATCAAAGTTATTAATTTTCCTCTTCAACACTCCTCTGCTTATGATTCAATTAGAATATTTAGTCATTGGTGGCATAATCAATTTCATGTTGGACTGCTAGCCACAAGATCCGTAGTTTGAAACCATCAGCCACTCTGAGGAAGAAAGATGAGGCTTTCTACTCCCTTAAAGATTTACAGCCTCAGAAACCCACGGGGGAAGTTCTCTGTTCAATAGGATCAGTGTGAGTCAAGATCAACTCAATGGCAGTAAGTTTGGTTTTAGTTTTGGCAGAATTGGCTAGGTACCAATCTAGGTTTCTTTGGTTTTTGTAGTATACCGTATGTCATTTTTGTTAGTTCCTTAGCTGCTTCTCTTCTTTGTTTCTTCAGACAAAATGAGACTATTTGCTGTACCTCAGGGGGCTGCTAAAGAACCCTGGTGATGTAGTGAGTTACAAATTGAACTGCTAATTGCTAGGTCAGCAGTTCAAAACAATCAACTGCTCCAAGGAAGAAAGATGAAGCTTCCTATTCCTGTAAAGAGTTGTAGTCCCAGAAACCCAGAAGAGCAGGTCTACCTTGCCCTATAGGGTCACTATGAGTTGGAATCAACCCAATGGAGTTTGAGATAGTTGCTTACAAGCTTTTTAGATCCCAGATGCCAAGCATTGCATTAATCTGCCAGTTAGTCGATTCTGTCTCACAGGGTTTCCAAGACTATAAGTCTTTAATGTAGCAAACAGTCTCATTTTTTCTCCCATCAGTGTGTTTGAACCACCAACCTTTCTGTTAGCAGCCCAAGACCTGGCTCACATCACTGTTAACTCACTGCCATTGAGTCAGTTTTGACTCAGTCTTTACATGAGCAGGAAGCCTCATCTTTCTCCCAAGGAGCACTTGGTGGGTTCGAACTACTGACCTCGAGGTTAGCAGCCCAATGTATAACCCTCTATGCCACCAGGGTTCTCACAGCACTACTTAAAAAACAAACTCACTACCATTGAGTCAGTGCCAACTCATAGCGAATCTATAGGACAGGGTAGAACTGCCCCTATGAGTTTCAAGACTAACTCTCCCAGAGTAAAAGATCAAAATGAGAATATGTAAACCAATAGCCTGAAAGGCTAGTCTGTTCCAGGAACCCAAATTTCCTAACCCTGTGTATTTTGTTTTGTTTTGTTTTTTTACCCATGAAGTCAATTAATCACAAAAAGATACAAGATGAGCATCTGTAGCATAAATTATATCTCTAATATTAGCTGCTAAAACTATATCAATACTTTGATTTAGATATCATTCTCATCAGCAAATGTGTCTAGTCCTCACTTTCAGCAAACAAGATTGTGTCACCTGTATATCACAGATTGTTAATAAGTCTTCCTCCAATCCTGATGTCACATTCTTCTTCATATAATCTAGCATCTGAGATGATTTTTTCAACATACAGATTGAACAAGTATAGTGAGAAGATACAACCCTGAAATTCTCATTATTCTCAAGGCTATCGATAGGTTGTTATGATCCACAGTGTAAAGAAAAACAAAATCCTCACAACTAAACTAATAGATTGTGGTGATAATCTCTTTTAAACAAATTAATACCAGACCAATTTCACGGACAAAATCCTCACAACTAAACTAATAGGTTGTGATGATAATCTCTTTTAAACAAATTAATACCAGACCAATTTCATGGAGTTGAAGATTAATGATGTCCCAAATGTCTAACTCTTACATGATGCTGTTCAGCTCCATTCTGCACCCCCTCCTACCCCCCCAATCCTTCCTTGAGGACATTCCCTTAACATCCCTGGCTTCTGTGATTCCATGCAATGTCCCATAGAAACTCATGAAACTGAGGAAATGTCTTACGTGGTGATGGATGCTGTTCAGTCCAAAATCTGAAGGTGAAACAAAGACAAGCCAAATGCAGGGTTCAGAGCCAGAGGCCAAAGATGTCCAAAAGCCACAGCAGATTTTCTTTTTACCAAAGCTCAGTCAAGAAAATAGAGTTCTGGCTTTCCAGATGAATACATTTAACTGTTTGGCAGCACCATTACATATCAAAGGAAAACAGTGTGGCCTGGTTCAAGCCCAGTTCAAGCCAAATTTCTAAGTTTTAAAGGTGTCATTAAGGGAATAAAGAGTGTGGCTCAGCTCTAAAGTAGGATCTTAAAGATGTCATCAAGGAAACTGAGTTAGTGCCTAAAACCAAAGGCATCTTAACAGAGCCCTGGTTTCATACTAAGCCTTGAAATCATCCTAATGCTATCTTGAGTACACCACATTCAATTTCTGACCACCAAGGTGAAGTCCCAGAGGACTGGGAAGGTTAATAGCCCTGAGCAATCTTCTTGGTAATCTGGGAAGGTAGGGAGAAACAGATTACTTATGGGACAGATGAAAGAGGAATATTCACATTGAATAGAGAGTTGAAGGAAGAACATACACAAAGAATAAGGGTAGGCTTCAGTATGTTCCCCTCAAGACTACTCACTCACTCATTCACTGCCATTGAGTCAATGGAGATTTTTTTTTCCCAATGGAGATTCTTAGCAACCTATAGGACAGGGCAGAACTGCCCTTGTGGGTTTCCAAGACTTTATGGGAGTAGAAAACCCTGTCTTTCTCCCTCAGAGTACCTGGTGCTTTCAAACTGCTGACCTTGTGGTTAGTAGTCCAACACACGCAACCACTGTGCCACCAGGGCTCCTCCTCAAGACCAAAATATGCAAATAAAATAATGCCATCTCATTTATCTACCCAATTATGGTCTGATGGATCAATAAAAGACCTCTTCTGACTGTCTTTACCATAAAGCCTTTGACAAAGGTTTTTTGCAGA